CCCCCCCCCAGGGCCTTCTTGGGAATGGATGGAATCTTCTCCTTCCAGGGGGAGGCTGGCCTGGGCTGATAGCAGGGACGGGGGACCTGGAAAGGCCCGGGGTGGTCATGGCAAGTGTCCCAGAAAGGTGCCTCTCACCCTCCTTCCTCCCCAGCCCTCTCCCCACCACCCCCGACTTGTAGTGGCCTTGTGGCGGGAAGGTTGGTTGGGCTCAGAGCCACAGAGCACCTGTCTGAGTCCTGCTGCTGCCTCAGTTTCCCTGCTGGACCACAAGGCCGGTGTCGGATCTTCCCTCCGTCTCTCCCTTGATGTCCCCTCCTCTCTTTTCTTCTGGTCTTTCTTCCCAATCTACTCAAAATAGATTCTGCAGTCCTCTTTCTCTGTCTGTCCTTGCTTCTGTTGTCTTTCATCTTTCCCCCAGACGATCTTTATGATCCTTTGTATTGTTAAAAATCCTATTCTAAAGAACTCAGAAAACGGAGAAAAGAACACCCAGAAGGTTCCTCTGTCCCTCTGCCTCTGTTCCTGTCCCACCTCCTTCTGCCCTCTGCACTGACGTCTGGGTTTGGACAGCTCCGGGTGCCCGTGCTGGCCCTCCAGAGGCGACCCCCACTCTGGCCTTGCTCCTTTATCTGAATAACGAGGAGAGCTGGAAAATCTGAGGTGCCCTCTCCAGCTCTGACGGTCGCCAGATTCCGGGCCCCCTTCTCCTGGGCTCATGGCTCAGCTCAGGTGGACAGGAGAAATTACTTGCAGTGACATCTGTGTGACGACCCTCCACCTGGAGACCCCGGTTCAGAGGGGGAACCGAGGGGGGCAGGTGCCCCTATTTTGTGACCCGCAGAAATGAGGGTAATCCCTTTGACCACCGGCACACGGGCAGGGAAGGGCTCAGGGTTGGGCGTGGGCTACCTGGTTTCTTACAAAGAGCCCCCGTGTGAGGTGGGACTGGGGAGAAGGAGGGAAGGGGAGAAGGAGGGAAGGGCTGGTGGGGACAGGGAGCGTTTGCAGCAACCTGACATTTCTTGGCTGGCATTTGATCAGCAAATACCAGATTAGTCTGTTTCCAGAGATTCTTTGTGCTGGAAAAATATGTTAGGGGTGATGGGGCGCATGGAGTTAATGGGCCTTGCTGAGTTTGGGGGTCAGGGGTCACAGCTGGGCCCTCTAGGGTTCCTGTTTGCCTTTGATTCCATCCGGACAGGGAGGGAGAGGCCCTCCAGCCCCCTGAGGCAGGTTTGCTTTGGCCCGAGATCTGACCCGGCCACTGGCCCAGAGCACCCCGCCCCCCTGCTCCCCCTATCAAGAGGCAGCCTGGTTCGGCCCCCAGCCCCCTCCTTCCTACCTCCTTCTTCCTTTACCAGGGCCCCCTCCGCTTGGCCCAGGATACAGCTCTGTTGGTCTGCCTGCCCCCAGTGGTGTTCCGGAGGCCTGGCCAGGACCGGATGCCCTGCAAACATCTGGCACACGGGGCCACCGCCTTGTTCCCACATAAGGCGCCCGCCCTCCTGGGGGCTTCCGGGAGTCCGGCCTCCTCTGTGCCTTGGTTTCTCTGCAAGCCCAGGACACGATCACTCTTGCGCTCCTGCCTGGGTGCTCTCAGCACCCGCTGCCTCTTGGGGGATGTGAGTGGCCCCCAGGACCCCGCCAGTGGCACCTGCTGGCTTTCCGGGCACCGAATCGTTCAGACATTCAAGCAACGTTTGCCGAGTGCCGACTGCCTGATGCTGTGCAAGGTGCTGTGCGGAGACTATGCCCGGATACTGTGCCAGCCGGGGCGGACAAGCCTCCCGCCCCCACGGCCCCTCTGCCCAAGTCTCATGCCACCTAGTCACCTTAGTTGGCTCTGCCCAAGGCCAGCCTCTAGCCCTCGGGGACTCCTGTTCGTTTGCTCCAGCTCGGGGTGAACTGGGGTGAGGGCAGAGGCTCGCCACGCAGGACCGGTCCCGCCATTAACTGCTGTGACCTTGGCCTGCCAATACAGTGAGGGGCTGACTGGGTAGGGCTTCTCACCCCGACCCTTGTGTTACTGTCTCCCGCCTGGCCCTCTCCCCCAGCGGTCATATTTAAATGGGTCTGAGGGAGGGCCCAGGCATCAGTGTCCTCTAAAAGCTCCCCAGATGATTCCGTGTGCGGCAGGATTGAAAGCCACGGAAGCCGGACTGTCCCTGGGCTCTCTAGCTCGTCAGAGTGACAGCTACTGAGGCACCATATTGCTGCTCCGGCGGTTTCCGTGCGTTACTTAATTGGGTCCTCTTAACGAATCTGTTTTCTGGAGGGGGAAACAGAAGCACAAGGACCCTGTGGAGCTTATGCAACTAGGAGAGCTGGGGCTCAAACTCAGGGAGGCTGGTTCCAGAACCTGCACGAGGAACTTCTGGGCTGTCAGGGCGCCGAGAAGGATCCCCGGGATGGCTCGTGCAGAAGCCACTGGTTTATAGGGCGGTGGGAACTCAGAAAAGGGGGAGGGTGCTTCTCAGCCGGCAGAATCAGGAGGCCTTCCGGAGGAGGTGGCCTTCTAGTTGGGCCTTGACTGATAGGGAGGATTCTGGCTCAGAGAACCAGACAGAGCACGTGCCGTAGAGGGAACCATGTGGGCGAAGGCCCACAGGAGGCCTGGA